AAAAAAAAAACCATTCTGTAAAAACTTTGTCCGGGTATTTGTTCATCAATTATCAAAAAAAAAATAAAAAATAAATAAACACACGCCGAGTATAATAATGAAATATTTTTTCAACGTATTTCAATTAAATGTTTTAATTCGTATCATTGAGTTTATTTTTATATTGTGCTTATCGAATGTATTCGTATCAGATTCTGAGTGGAACGAGGAACATATTAGTTTTACAATGATTTTTTTTTTTTATGTGAACACTTTTTGTACTAGAAAGCATACTCCCATATTCTAGTATAGCACCTTTTCTGAAAGAAAATTTTCTCCGAGTAGTACATTAAAGAGGTCATTTTTTGAAATTTTCATTAATATCCGAGATAATGAGGGAAATCTCGGTCTTTCAGTTAAAAAAGATGGAAATATTAAAAATAAATTTGTTATTGGCAACCGTTTTTATTCATTTTTAATTATTATTAAGTTTTTAATATTTTAATCATTTTTAAACAATCATTGTTATCATGGAAACACACATTGTTCTTATCATTTTACCATAATATGACATAATAACATATATTGTGTTGTTGACAAAGCAATATTATCAACTGAACTCGACTCAAAATCGTTTTTTCGTTAGCAATGGTTTATCGTTGCTTACAGATATCCGTTAAATTCCCATCTGCAGCCTCTCTCCCTAACCTCCCACCTATAACAGTGGCTACATCTACGTGTGTCCGTCCTTTTTTATATTCCGAGCGTAGCAAGGGAGCTATTGGTTTTACTAAGATGTTTATTATTTTCCCTGTCTTTCATTCTTTGTTCTAGTCCGTTGACATGGTTTTTCCTAGTAAATTTACTCCAATTTTTCTGAAAGCTCAAGTTGTTTAGATTTTACTTTAGAAAGGTCATTTTTTGATTTTCAACGTCATTTTTTATATTAAACCAGTTAAGTGGGAAAAATGTAGAAAAACATACAATTTCACGATTTTATTATTTTATAAAAACTCGGACGTTTTCTACCAAAAAAAATGATTTAATCGAAAAATCACAAGATACTTTATTTGTTGTTTTTCAATTTACTTTCTTGCGGTATTATTATAAAACAGCAATTTTTGAACTTTTAAGAAATTTTAATTTTTGGAAGTTTTTTACTGTTTTTCGGATATAAATACTCGCAGAGACTGGAAACTTGGTAATAATACTTATATTGGACTAACCTAGCCATTAAAATATCCAAAATAATAGGTCTTTTTTTTTTTAGTAAGCGTTTTTTAATCAAATTTAAACGAAAATCACAAAACAAAATTTCAACACTTCAAATTATGTATTACTGAACTGCGCTCGGTATCGTCTTTCGTCAAGTAATAGTTTATCGTTGCTTACAGATATAAATGTGATGACCTTATGTATCCTAACTTCCCAACTTCTCATCTACAACAGTCGACGCTACTATACCCAGTATCAGCTCTTTTTTTAATTTTTTTCCGCTTGTTTTTAAATTATCGCACTATTAAGTACAGCTATCAGCTATAATTTTTGTATTGCATTATTGTAGCGTTTAAATCAGCGATGAGGCCTCGAACACGGCCAACAATTTTCTGTCTTGTTTTACATTTGTATTATAAGTACGTTTATCGTTTGTTTCTGATTTCTCATCGCATTTTTATTTTTCGCCATTTTCTGATCGTAATACGAAAACTGGAAATTAAAAAAATATGTATATCCTTTCAAAGTATCGTATTCGCGTTGCTATCGAAAAATCTTTGAGACGAATTTTCCTCGTTTTTTTCATGTAATATGTATAGTTAATAATATTAGATATTTATTCCAGAATGTAGACAAAGTATAGTTGGACACGCAACGTCTCCTCGGTTTTTCGTTGGCCGGGAAGTATTGCTACGGGATTTATGTTTAGGATCAGATGATTAATAATTGTTTCGTAAAAATGATTATGCACTAAACTCGGTTAGCAAAATGAAACCGAATAAATTTCAATAAATTTCACGGTGTATAAGTTACACTCTTCGGACCTAATAACCGTCTCGTAAATTACCGAAATTGTCTTTAAAAATATTACAAGGCGACCAGCAGTATTTTTTCATACCCGCAGGCTTACAGTATATTTCACTTTTTAATACCTACCGATACCAATAGCAGTTTTAGTTTCAATAGAAAATATGATATGACGATAAAATGTAATGTTCATCATAAAAATATAAAAACACCTATACGTTAAAACCGCGCACCTCATAAAATTCAACCCATAAACGTTATCCACATAGCAAATGAAAAAAAACTAACTCCAAACTTTAATAACAAAAAAAAAAAAATGTACTTATTGTATTTTATTATTTTGTTTCCAAATTCAATGTTAATGTTATGTCGTTCTTAAAAATATTTTAAAATATAATTTTAAACTTTATATTATGTCTGTATAGAGTAAGAAGCTATTATTTTTACAGATATCAGTTTTTTATATTTTTTGAAAATACTTTTCCGGGTTTTGATAAAGTACTCCAAATTGTCGTACTTATCCATCGTACTTTCAAAGATGTAGATTTATTGAACAGCTATATTACATTCGGACAAATTTCTAGATTTCCAACAAATTTTCGAAAATAGTTAAAATAAACCTGGTAGTAAGGGGAAAAACCCGACTAATACAACTGTAGTACTGTAGTACTTGTAGTACTCAAACAGTTTACCGAGCACTACTCTTTTCGATTGCAATGCAATCACCCTGCACATGTATCGTATTACTTCCAAACTTTAACTTCAAACTACAACAACTGATTTTGATCGGGAATTTTTCGATTTTTTTAACAAAAACTAAGTGAGAATACTAAACACCGGTTATAATTTTTTAGGTAACCATTGATAATCAAAAAATAAATAAATATATCCTCCACTCACATCCTAATAACTTTTACCAGTGCCTATATTTTATGCCGGGTATATCTAATATATATTTTATTGTTTAATGTACCTGTCGAAAAATTCAATATTTTTTATTTTACATATGTTATTCGACTATTTTATTGATTTATACTGTCGACGATGCCAGGAAAATAGGTATTTGTTTTACAACCCTACGAGCAGTTGTTATGCCGCTTATAAGGGTAATTTAATATGCGCACATTTTTTTTTTTTTTTTTTTTACGTGAAGTGATTGAATACATATGGTGCGTTTAAAGGGTTATATTTTTCAAATTTCACAGCTGTTTAAAAAAAGATTGTGGAAACTATGAAAAAACCGTTAATTATAATATGAGTGAATATTATGCGATAAAATTTAAATTCTGAGCTCTACTAAAATCACTCAAAAACTATTTTCATTTATCATTTTTCTTGTAATTATAGTTAAATTATTTGACCAAATAAAATCATCAGCGTTTATAGTATTATATATGAGATTTAAAACTCAATAGGATTTTGATATTACATACATTTATATATTAAGCTTTTATTCAATTTTTTCTTTTTTTTTAATCATATTAAAACCATACAAATTTATTTTTTTAAATTTTCATTGTTAACAATTTCATTTCCCGTAAATTAAATTAAAAAAATTGTACGACTTATGTTTTCTGTCAGAAATATTGCTCCAATAAAAAAAAAAGAAATCTTTTTTGTTGACCATTCATCTAATTGGTGAACAAGAAAGTTTATTTTTGATTTTATTTGTAGGATTTTTAACAATTAACCAATATCGAAAAAAAAAAAGATGAACATACTTCACACGATGGGTGTAGCCACTGTTGTTGATGAGAAGTAGGAAGTAGAAGTGGGAATATAGGATATAAAAGGGAAATTAATTTGCATTTGTAAGCAACGATAAACCATAGTTTACTAAAAAACGATTCTTAGCGGAGTTCAGTTGATAATTATGCTTTATTAGCAATATATATGTCATAATATGGTAAAATAATTTAATAGGCATTAGGTATATATTTTCTTTAATTATGTAAGTGTTTTATCGTCTTATCTACGTTTTTCCTGATTTTCACAGGTTTTTACATTTACTGAGAAAACTCTTGGGAAAATCAAAAAACGACCTCCCTAAAGTACCATTCCCAGAAAATTTCCTTTCAGAAAAAGATCTTTATCGTACACATCGAAGTAAGTTTTCTGGTAGATATAGTGTTCACATAAAAAAAAAATAAACATCTTTGTAATACTAATGTATTCTTCCCTAGACTCAGAATCTAAAATGCAGAAGATATAGGAAAATTTATGAAAATAATTCTTCTATTATTTTGGTTTTTTAATGTAATTTAGTTTAATAAATTTGTAAAAGTTCCAAATACATTTGTTCTTAGATATATTACTATTAGGGTAAATGAAATTAGGTAGCTATATGTACCTAATTTTAAAAACAAATAAATAAAGGTAAATTCAACAGATTAATCATTTATTTAAATAACACAGGTTTATATTATTCTTCAAGTGATTTTCACCACAACGTGTTATTTGATACTTTAACAAGGATGGGCGTTAACGAATTATAAAGTTGAAAGTTAAGATAAATTAAACCTTTAACTTAGTTTGGACTTCTGATTTTTTTATTAATTTCACTGAATATTATTAAAAGAATTACATTTTAACGTTTTAATACGTTGTTAGCTTGTTTTTAACTAACTTGACTTATCTGAGTTAATACAATCTGGCCATTTTGTATGTTTATCATTACAAAATTAATTGTATAATAAAAACCTATATAAAAAAAAATTGTTCAGCAGTAATAAATAATAATTCAGCTGATCATTTTTCTAATTTAGAAATCAAACTTATTAAGTTGAAATTGAAATTGAACTAATATTATTAAAATATAATACTGAAATGGAGCTAATTTCTGAATTGAAAACGAATTCTTTACAATACGGTGCACGCGTACGCGAACGTTATTTAATTAGGTATATAAACGTTGTGCAAAGATTACCTAAATATTTTAACGTGTTTAACGCATTATTTTGTGTTAAATTATCTTCTTCTTCTTTAGATTTTACAGTCCATTAAGGCCCATCACTGCTCCACGCAGTTTCCTCCGGTCTTCTCTTATTATTTGCAATTTCTTCCGGGTTATGAACCCCAAGTATTCGAAAATTCCGATTTAGTTTGTCCATCGACCTTTTCTTTGGCCTGTCCAGTGGTCTCTTACCTTCTGGTTTCCAGTTCAATAAATCCTTTGTTATATCGTCAGGTCTCCAAACGTGTTCTGGGCAGCTCATTTTTCTTCCTTAAAGTGTGTGTTTATACTATGTCTTCTTTTCTCAAAAGTTAATTCATTTCATGAGTCAATTTTATTTCATATTTGGCGTGTTTGATCATTTTTCTTTGGTCTTTAAAACGCGTCAAAAAAATTTCTTTCTGGAAATCAGCCGCCTTTTTATCATCCTTTTTTGACGCTAGCCGCATTTCATGTGTGTATAAAATTACTGGTTTTACTAAAACCTGGAATAATCGCTTATTTTTTGTATTTATTTTTTTTTAAATAATAACTTGGACCTGAAGATTTTCTGCTGTGAAAAAAGCATTTGTTCCCAACAGATTACGAATTAAATCCGTAATCGCATTTCATCATAGTAATGGTCGTGGCTATTTATTTCTACTCCGAGGTATTACAAAAATAATATTTTCTGTCTTCAAACCTCATTTTTAGTGTAATAGATTACCTCTTGTAACTACCATAGTAATATTTAATTTTCCCTAAAATGTATCACAAACCACGTTTTTTTAGCGCTCGGATTATCAGTTATTTAGTAGTGTTTTTTTCATGTCCTCTTCATTGAACGCACGTGTTTTTCTACTGAATCATACAGCAATCGTCGTTGTTTCTTGAATTTTTCTGACAACCCCTTCCGTAACGCAATTTTAACAATATAAAATTATAATTTATAGGAACATAAAACAGTTGGCGGATATTTACCTAATAATATTTTAATACGCATGGTCGCCGTGATTATAATATTTCATTTCGTTATTTATACTCACGTTTCTCGGCCGTTTGTTTTATTAGATAATACTTTAAATAAACGTCGGCGGTTTAGAGACGACTTTTGTGTACCTACTTTGTTTACTCGTCGCGCCACGGGTATCACGACACCAACGACGACGACGACGATATTCGTAGAGACAAAGGCAGAACCTTAATACCGTTACCGACACTTATGAATCGTGCAAAACAAAATACAAATATCGTTACAAACGGCAGTGGAGGAGAGGGGGGGGATAGTTTATGCGAAAGAAAAATAACCGTCGATATTTTAAACTATTCAATTTGTGTGCGGTAAAGTCGGTTTTTTTTCACATTAGAATATTATAAAACAGCGCGGAGAATAACAAATTATATGCAGGTACGTCTGCCGTTAAAAATGTACGCATCACAAAAATATTTATATAAATCACCGCCGTGATAAAATATGGGTTAACGCACGAACGTTTTAAAATTCGTTATTCCGTCGAATTTCTAAATAATACTTTTTAACTTAATGCGTTGTATATACTGACGGCAACCCGAAATATTCCTATCTAACGTGTTAAAAATTAGAATACTTATAGTTTCGATTTTCGGTTTTCGTCACACATTTTTTTTGAAAAAAAAAACCGTAATTCATATTATGCGTGAATAATATCGATGGTTTTATAACCAACATGATTGTAAAATGTACGGTAAAACTTTTTTTTTTTTTTCAGAAAATATCAATTTTACGTATGTTTTCGATTTGATGAGTTTTCGGTCATTTATAGTTAAACTTATAAAATTGAACGATACTCGCATTTTTCTGATTCGTGTTATACTTTTCACAGTCAAACTCTTCACTTTCCCACAATAGTACATTGCAGTATACTGCATTTAAAAAACCAACTTTTAACGTAATTTCATACGTTTTTTGTAATAACACTAACTTAACTTTTATAGATTGGAAGTATCGAATAAATTACTCAGTTTTGTATGTTCATATTACAATAGGTATTACGCTGTACACTTCATTTGGAGATTGTCTAAAAAATAAAATATTAAAAAAAAAAACCACCCCAAAAATTATTCTCCGGAAATAAAATCACGAGAATATTTAAGTAAACTGAAAACGATAATTGGCTAAGGTAATTGATGGTTTTGTCCTATCATAAGTGAGTATATCTGTTACCTATTCATATTATAGTATTATCAAGTTTTTGTTTCTTATCTAACCTAACGAGCGATACGAATTGTTATAGTACCTATACTGTCTATTTATCGGTTATAGTATTTTGCATTAGATTTTGTGATACGAGGAAAGGAATTTAACTTCGTCACCCCCCTACCAACCGAAAAAAACCGTCCAAAAGCCTCGTTATTATTATTAGACAATAAGAATAATTGTAATATGGCAGTGATAAATCGAAATATTTCGACATTTTTATATCGCGCAATTACCAAACGCTTAATGTATTTAATCAACAATAATTAAAAACAAAAAAAAAAAAAAGCTATTCAACCAATAGTTAATTCGAATACGACGTTTCCTCGTTGCGCATTGTATAAAACAGTTTTTAAATAAATAAACTCTAAAAAAAAAATGAAAAATGTATATATTATTTTATGCGGACTTACGGTAAGTGATTCACTGTAGCTGCATTCATTAATAATATTATGTTATTTATGTCGGTTTTGCTTGTGATAATAATAATTTTACATTTTATTTACGTTTGTAGACCACGATAATAATAATAATAATAATAATAAATCGACTTATTTCAACGTCCTCGAATACGAGTTATTATTTTAATGTACCGTACGGAAAGAAATGATTATTCAATATTTAAAATCGAGCGTTTAAATCAACGTTCGGTTCACTTGGATTTAACGAGATCCGCGTAAAATGATCGATACAAAGCGAATATTATTCTTAACGTAATGCGATTGACAATAAATATGCGAATCGTTTGATAACATTGGGAATATGTCCGGCCAAATCCGAGCCAAATGTTGTGTATTTAAAACATTTTTGAAACAATATTTCCGTTAGCCGTGTAAAGTACATCAATATTTATGCGCTTTTTAGATTTCACTAAAATGTAAAATACACACTTCGTATACTTTACGTTGAGTAGATCAATAAAACTGTTTTGAGTAGGCTAACAACCATGGTGAAAACCATCGGGGACGAACAATACGATATTATTTTTAAACAATCAAACAACAACGTATCGAGTATACAATTTAAGATTAAAAAATGTATTCTCGCTATCGTTTTTTTTTTTTTTAATTTTTTTTTTTCCTAGTGTTATATAAATTTTAACGTTCTGAATCGAACGAATTGAATAAATTACCTCACTTACTCGTGTATGGAGAGGTAATACTCGTACACTTGTGATGGCCAATCAATTCGAATTATCGACTTCTGGGTGAATTTTTTATCGCCCTAACTACTGTCTTCAAACGTATTAAAACACTGAAAAAAAAAAAACAAAGTAGAATTTTCGACGAGACATTTGTCTCGATCGGTATAATTACGTTTTCGAATAACTTGAAAAATCAATACTTTGATACTTTAGTTATTGATGTTTTTGAGTTATAAATAATAAATTTGATAGGGTTCGGTTTTTTTTTTCATTCTCTTAATGGGTTTTACTTAAAATATAGCCCTGATATATAAATACATACCAAGATGAAATTAATTCCAGAAGTTAACTCGAAACTTGTTTTAGATTCTGCGTTACGAAATTATTCATAGTAAAAAATACGCGTGCTTTTTTTAAAAGTCCGAGCAAAGCAAGTAACGTTGTATTTATTCGGTCGACTGTCTGTGAATAACTTTTCGACTAGAAATGCTTCACTCGTTAAAATTAGCGGTAATTTTCGGTAGAAAATGATTGCTGGTTTTTTTAATTTTATTTAAATCTAAAAAAAAAAAATAACATTAAATGGCATGTCATCATGTCATCAAAACTAAAATTAGACGGTTCGAATTTGTATTGTAAAAATTGTTCGATTTTTTTTTTTTTTGTTATAAATTTTGATGGAAATTATGACTCAGCTTTCTCCCAATCAAGTTTATGGAACCGCCTATAACTTTAAGTTAAAATGTGTGTTGAAATTTGTAAAGTTAAAGAACAATGCTTCGGAATACTAATCGGAATATATACTGTTGTAATTCAACTCTAAACCTCAGTACTCATATCAATTATAGGGGTTTGCTAAGCTATTTTTAAGAAAAGTATATACGTATACTTGACGATTGCAAAATTACAATAAATAATATTAATATTAAATTGTAAAAATCGTAACTATGCTCGTGATCGTTTTTCTTTTGCGATGATTTATGGTCTTATAGTGTGTGTAAACAAAAATTACCTCATACAAGTACTTAAGTAGTGTAGTATATCCTACGTTTACAAAATCGTGAACAGTGGCCTGGGAAATGGCCGCATGGGAAATATGTTTACCTTTCTCTCTCTCTCTCTCTCTCTCTCTTTCGAATCAATTGGCACAGTATTGAACTACGTGTATACTGTATTTAATACATTAGCGCGATTTGTTTGATTACAATATTTAAAAGTAAAGTCCGTAGGATAATAACAAAGTAAATAGTGATATACAATATACTTTTTACAACCTCAATAGAATTAATCAATTTAAGGAAATGTTCTGAGTAAAAGTTTTTTACGGACTATAAACTAGGTGTACATTATTTTATGGCCGTAAAACCGTTGAATCGTCTTTTTGTTTGATACACTCTACTTGCAATCTATTGCATTTTTCATCATACTATTATAAATTATTGTTGGATTTGACATTATTTTTTTATTTTTTTTTTAAATCCCAGCATTCGCTACTGTTTATCGTACGCAATAACTCTCCGAGAAGGGAGTAGTTTTATACGCGTAGGACATGACACTATCGGAGTGTATACACATTGTGATTAGTATATGTTTTCATTTACAAAACGCTATATAGAAATATATATTTGTTTTCACCGCAAACACACTGAAAATAATGGCGCTATTAAATAAATTGTGCGACAATAAGCGAAAATATATTCATTAAAAAAAAAATAAATAGATAAATAAAAAACGTAGGTAAATACGTCACTTCTAAGTTTTTTTTAAAAAAAATTATATTATTTTATCTTATATTATCTAAAATATTATTTTTTTTAATATTTTTATTAAAATCTACGTATATAAGTATTTATTTTTTTTCGATTTTTAATATATAACGAAGAAACTATTGCAAACACTCTGC